CACTACTGATTAAGACTCGGCAAGAACCCTAGTACTTGGTCAGGTTTATTTTCATGGAGACCCATATCATAAAAATCAACTTCTTGAAGGTTAGGTTTACGGGGAGCAGTGTAGCACCAAGTGTTGTTGAGTTTAGACTAGAGGGGACTTCTGTGTTTGACTCTTTATCTTTTGAGAAATTAACATGGTAAGTTGGGTCCTAGGGATGCTTGGCCTATATTATCATGGTAGAGGATTTTGAATGAATCCTTTTGTTCGTTGCAGTATTGACCAACACACTTGTCATGATTTGAGCTAATATTAGTCAACAATATTTATGATTGTAAGCACATTGTAATTATATGTAAACATACTTCCTAAGATGTATGAAGGTGTGGAGAGTGGAGAATCATTTCAAGGATATCTTGCAGATGTTGGTTCATGTGGTATTTTATATGAGCTTATTGATTCGATTCGCAAGGTTTCTAAGGATTGTTTAGGAGGCATCATTGATGAAGTTTGAAGACAATCCTTTATAAACAATATTTTGCTTTAATAGTTAATACTTTTATGTTATATTTGAAAGTTACAAATTTGAATTTCATTCAGAAAATAGATGTCGTTATTTTATGTGTATAATGAGTTGACAATAATCGACAAAATTTATTTTATTAGTGTATTAGTGAAGTTGTAATAATCAAACTGGGTTTAATCTTAGCGATTTTATTATATTTTTCGATAAAAGAAACATCATGAGATTACTAGATTCTCTTAGTTTGGGTAAATACAATAAATTAAAATTCGATTTAATCTTTAATTATCAAGAAAGAACAAGATAATCATTTTGAAAGTGTACTTGCTTAAATTGTTTTTTCTTACATGACTTGGGTGATACCATGTTGTTCATATCCATATAATTAAGATTATCTATTTCGATATAAATTTCATATACAAAATTTTTTATAGACACAAGAATTTGTATAATTTCGGTTACAATTAAATGAGTTATAAATTTTGAAATATTTAAAATTATTTATATTTTAGCTATCTTTAAATTACCAAAATTTCGTCTTCTAATGACTTCTTTTATTTAAATTAAATTTTGGTGTGTTATCATTTCTAAATATAACTTTTCTTGAGAATCGAATTTCTTGTAAGTAATTTCGCACTTCTAAGTTCAAATCTAAAAAATTTGAATTTCAAAAGTGATTGATAATTTTAAGTTACTCGATAAATATTATGTATTCATGATTGAAGGAGTTGTAAAATAAATTAGATATAAGTAACATGAGTAGTTTGATTATATACATACAAATTGGAGATTAATTAGCAATTAATGCGACAACTTTTCTATTTGAATTTATAAGTATATATTGAATAATTTAAATAAATAAATAAATTTCAAAGGAGGATTTATATATTTGGTGAATATTCTTGATTTTACATCTCAACTGAGTGATTTTTCTATTCTAATGTCTTGTGATGTTTAAAATAATTTTAAATTTTATTAAAATACTTCAGATAACAAGCTAATGAATTTTGTAAATTTCATCTTCATTAGGTTAAAAAAAAATTAAAATAATTCAGTAGTGAGATTCAAATTAAAAAGAAAAAACCATCGTAAAAAAATGATTCCTTCAAGAAACGTCGGGAAATCATTTACACATTTCTCTGGAGATTGCTGGCATCTTCCTTTCACTTCAACGGTTCGGATCCATTTATCAGTTTCGATGAACAGTAATGGTTGATGCAATGATCCAATGGCGGTCGGTTGGTTGGGGCTGTCAAAATGGAGAGCCCACTATTCAGGCCATTTAGAAAAAGAAACCCAGGAAGAACCCTAGAAATAATGAGCTCAGCAATGCACCCATTTGTCCCAATCAATAGAATGATATGGTTTTTTTTGCTTTATTATAATCTACAACTAATCACGGGCGCCTTCTTCTTCCCTTCGTTTGGAAGCGATTACCGTAAAGTTTTCCATCTGCTTTTTCTCCTTGTTCTTGTCGGATCAGTGAAAAACAACACACCAAATTCGTCTCTTTTTATGCTCTGGAACCTCTACATCCAACTCTTATCCTTCCTTAAATCTATCGTTTTCCATGTTTTATTGAGGAACAAAAAATGATTACGGCTTTATTGGTCGTACCGTAATCATTTTCTGCTTTTATAACCATTTTATTCCAACAATCTTCTTGTTTTTTAATCGAAGATCATTCAATCCTTTTAAAAGTATGTGTGCAAGAGACTCTGTGGACACTAGCCCAAAACCCTGCCAGCACCTTGCAGATTACAAGTTAATCCATGGACTCAATGGCTACAACTCCCTCCAAAATTGCCTGAAAACTATCCCAACTGGAAAACCAAGTATAAAGAAACAGGAGACAGTGATACCCAGCTGCGGTTTCTGTAATGGGTATAAAGGTAGACTCTATATCTGTTTGATTTGCTCTTCAATCTCATGTTCAAGCCATACCCTTTCTCATAGCCAGTCAAGCAGCGGCCATAATATAGCTGTCGACCTGGAAAGAGCGGAGCTTTTTTGCTGTTCTTGCTCTGATCAGGTCTACGACCCTGATTTTGATAAGGTTGTTGTCTCTAAACAAATCATGGACTTGCCTGGAGAAGCAAAAAATGTTGCTAATGATGCCGTAGGGAGATCAAACAAGAGAAGGAGATTGGATCCTGAGAAAGAATTGGATTTGAAGAAATCCAAGCAGTTGGTTTCTTTGGGAGACCGTAGAGCAAAGTCGTGTTATCCATTGGGATTAAGGGGCTTGAACAATCTGGGCAGTACTTGTTTCATGAATTCTGTGTTGCAAGCTTTGCTTCACACTCCTCTTCTAAGAAATTACTTCATTAGGGGTTTGCATAACCGTAATCAATGTAAAAGTAGATTTGGGAATCGACTTTGTCTGCTATGTGATCTGGATGTGATCTTCACAGCTATGTTTTCTGGTGATCGGACTCCGTATAGTCCAGCTCAGTTTCTTTACAGGTCTGCCAATGCTCAGTGGCGTGCATGTGAATCATCTGATTTGGTCTATTTAGTTTAACGGTTCCTTATCTTACTTGAAAAATCAGCCATTGATTGTTTGGTTTGTTAATATGAATGTATATCTAGGTTGTAATTTCTGAAGTTCTTGTTAATGCTAGCTGCTAACATGGGCTGCGCTGCTGGGTAAGTTGAGCGATTTAGGGCTTTTTAGTTCAAAATCAAGCATACATTATGTGCATGTTTAGCAGACAGTCTCATCTGAAGGGTGCTAGCAAATTGTTAGTTGCTTTGTTTGGTGAGTTAATAAATTAGACATACTGTCATTTCAGTGCATGGTTGGAGTTGGTTGTTTTATAGATGCATCTTAAGGAATTTTCTTTTGTGGATCTCATTTTGAATAATTAATTTATGAATCTTAGCCAAAATTTTCTGTAATTTCCTCAATTTCTTTTGGTACTGTTGCGGTAATGAGTTTTTTCTGCATTTCAAGCTGGTGGCAGCATTCAGCAAATCTAGCCTGTTATGAGCAGCACGATGCTCATGAGT